AAAAAAAAAAAAAAAAAAATTTATATACATAGCAAGCAGGCCTAAACAGAAAGCTCGGGACACACAGGCAACAGAGAGCCCACATTTTGGGGAGTCGGGGGAAAGGGTGGAACAGGCAGGAGGAAGAGCAGGGAGGCAGAGCGTAAAGGAAGAAAAGTTTCTGTAAAACTGCTGTAAAAAAGTTTTCCCTTTCCTTTTCTTCTAGCTACCAATGAAGCCAGTCGCTGGGTGAGACTGCTGAAAGCTGGATGGGTGCATAAAGCAGCGGACAGAGGAGCCAGGGGTGCTTGCACACCTTTGTCTAGCACGTAGGAAGTCATCCTGGGTAGCAGCTCTAGGAGTTTTAGGGTAGTGCTTGGTGGTGAGGAGCTTTGCATCCCTGCACGTGCTCAGGGATTACTGGGAGGTGCCGACCCACCCGCGGAAACTCGAGATCCAAGTATGGGAAAGGGTTGCTTGCTTAGGGAGCCCTGAGCCTACAGCAAAGACGTCAGTGCCGGCACGAAACTGCTAAAAGTCCGGTGCCCTCTCTCAGAGCCTCCCCTAGCCTAAGCCCCGGGGCTGCCGCGCCGCGCATGCGCCTTCCTGGGGGTTTGTGGGAAGCGGCGCCCCGGGCGGCCCGTTACCTCCCCCGTGTGCTTGCACAGGTGCGCCTCGAGCTTCCAGGCCTTGTTGTAATTGGCGCCGCAGTCGCGGAAGGAGCAGATGAACCTGCGCGGCAGTGCCGGGCGCGGCGGGGGCGGGGCCGGGCTCTCACCAGCCGCGACGAACGCGTCCGCGATGGTCAGGCACGACACCGCCTCCGCCACCGACCCCGGTGGCTCCAGGGCGCCCGCGGGCCAGGACGCAGCCACGTGCAGAGACACGAGCCACGGCCCGGCGTGCGCGGGCGGCCGCTTCCAAGCACGCTACGTGCAACGCCGTGCACTTCCGGGAGTGCGGTCCCTTGGATGGTAGCCCCGCCCCCCGCCACTACGATGCCGCGCATGCGCCAAGGGGCTCCGCCGAAGGCTCTGGACTGCGCATGCGCCTGCTAACCTGGTGGCGGCGTGTGCCCCACCCTCTCTGCATGAGAGGCCGGGTCTTCTGCGTCTGGTGTTTAAGGCTTCCAGGTGGCCTAAGTCCCAAAACACGGCTTCAGTGTGAATTGTTTCCAGGCCGCGGCCGCTCTCTAGGAAGTACTAACCTTGCATAATTTAAACGAGCCTGTTATTCACATCTCTTTGCCCGCAGTGGACTCCTTTCCTTGCATCTGATCTTCACCCTTGCACTGCAAGCCCCAGAACCGTGGATCCTAAGCTTGTTTGCCCATTAGAGTCACAGGGAGATCTTGGCAAACTGCAGAGTCCAGAGCCTACCTGAACCAATTAAACTACAGGGCGGGGGAGGGTGGAAGCAGACATCATCATTGTTTAATAAAACTACCCAAATGATTCTCGGGTGCAGGGAAATCAAGGCAAACACTGCCCTAAGCCATCGCAGCTCACAGTGGTCTCTGGATCAGCCCCGTCTTCTGAGCAAGGACTCCCAAACCTACCAGAATTAGAGATTTCCCAGTGATTGGATGCATAGGAAGTTGTGAGAAGCGCTGTTGAGAGGCACCAATGAATATGGGTAACTTGGTCTATGAGGATCACATGTTTCCGGGGTTCCCTTAGATAACAGTAACACAGTGGATCCCTGATGCTCCACCAGGGGTTTGCTTTTCTCATCACTGCGAATCACTAAGGTAGTGTCAGCCTCACTCTGACGAACAGGTCTCTGCTTTATCACCCGGGAGCATCTGAAAATGATGGCCTTGGGGTTGCCACCTACACCACTGAAGTGAGTCTCTGATCGCGGATGAAAAACATCGAGAGGGTCCCAATTCCCCTTCCACCCTTCCTCCTGTCTGTTCCCCTTCTCAGCAGGCTTTCCTGCTCTTAATCTCTCCCGCCTGTGCTAGCCAGCGCATTCTCCCTCAAACGTCTGAGACTATAGGTGTATTTGCAAGACTACATTTGCAAAGTATTTTTATTCCTCAGAGCTGTTATTCCCGCAGTGTAGACAAGGGCACCCTCCTGTAGGAAATGGGAATGCAGGGCTCAGTCCTTCTCTAGACCCGGATCAGTCCTGCACCTTCTAGATAAGCCTCATCCCACCACTGCAGCCAACTTTTATTTTTTTTATTTTTGTCTTTTTGAGACAGGTTCTCACTGTGCAGTTCATTTAATAGCTGTTTTTTCTTTTCTTTTCTTTTCTTTTCTTTTTTTTTTGGTCTTTTTGAGATAGGGTTTCACTATACAATTCAGGCTGGCCTGGAACTTACTTTGCAGGCCAAGATGACCTCAGACTCCCAGTGATCCTCCTGCCTCAGCCTCCCAAGGCTGGGATTACAGGGGTGCACCACTATGCCTGGCCTACTAGCTGCCTTTTGCTGTATGACTTTATTCTTCCCTTAAAATTAGGGGCTGGAGATCTTTCCTCACCCCTTGACTCTGTGCTCAGCTTTGTGACTTCTTTGGTCATCCGAGTTGGGAGCATCAGTTTGTGGGTTCCAAACTTGGCCCTTCTGTGCCTCTGCCTTTGCCACAGAGATGACATTTCTACATAATTTGGCTCAGATAGAAAAGATGTAAAGGATGAAATGGAGCCATCCCATGGGTCAGCCAATCTGCAGATCTGACAAGAGATGATTGTAAGCCACTGAATCGGAGGGTGATTTGTTACATGGCAGTTTTGCACCAAAGACCGATACACCCTCATTTCTGGTACCAACAAACGTGCTGAAATCTGTCTCATCCTTCAAACAAACAAACAAACACATCCCTTTTATGTTTCTGTGATTTCCTGACTCAGTGTGATTACACACTTCCATTTACAACCAAGTTAACTGTGAAACCTAATCTATGTTTTTCCTCTTTGCCTATTCATAGAAATTTAACACAAACAGAGCTCGTAGGCCGGAGGACCTCTTTGGATCTATTACTCAGGTTCAACAACCATCAACTTTTCACGCTTCTAAACCTAACTGCCCAAATTCCCAATCTAGCACCCGTGACATTTCCAAAGCCTCCCACCTCCTCCAGGGTGTCCTTATTTCTGTGAGCCATGCCACCATCCATCCAGTTGACAACTTTGGCTTCTTCCCTGTCTCATTCCCTGCATTTACTGACTGTTCCGTCACCTTTGATTTTAGTTCCTCATTGTCAGTTACAGCCAAGGAAGATCTTGGACCTCTAGTTCCCATTGTCTCTGTGATTCCATTAGAAAAGGAATGTTTGGGGCGATCCTATCTATCCACCATCCAACCCTGAGGAGAGAATCAGAGGCTGTTCTTCCCCTAAATTGCTCTAGATGTCCTCAGATGTCCCACTGTCCATGAAGTCTTAGCTTTTCTAACACCTATGCCACCACGAGTTTATTACAAGCATAGCATATTGCAAGCCAGATCAGCCTCCTTCCACTAGCTGAGAGAATTCACTTCAGAAAGAAGTTGCATAGAATGGAAACCTGAGATCGCTTCCAGTTCTCACATTCTGTGCTTCTTCGATAGGAAATAAGGGAATTGTGAGGCACTTTCTGAGCTAGATAAATATGTCTGTCAAGATAAACAGGACATTTCTGTGATTCTATGATGAGGAAGGGAGACAGTAGTGATTTGGGGGGATAGGGCTTAAGATAAATCCAGTACCAAAGAAGAAGAGAGGTCTAGTAGGATTGAAGGGAGAGTCCTGGAATAGAAAGACACACTACAGAGACCATTATCATTGCAGAGTAGGACGTCTGAACTGGAGGGGCTGACCGTGGAACTGGAAGAAGGGAGCAAGCGAAAGCCATTTGAGTGCTCAGGCAAAATAGCAACTCAGCAACGGCACTGGTCAGAAGCACAAGCTTCGGAGTTGGAAAGATCTCACTTTGCATTCTGCTTCTCCACTTACCACGTGACCTTGAGCCAGCTATTTTGTCCTTCAGAAGTTCATGTTTTCTGTACAATGGAGTTAATAACATCTGTGCTACACTGTTACTGTGAGAATTACGTGAGATACTTAGTTTGTGTGGAATGCTTGATGTAGGACCTAGCACATAGTAAATAATTTATTTTATTTTATTCTTTGTCTTTTTGAGACAGGGTCTCATTATGCAGTTCAGGCTGGCCTTGAGCTCACTATGTAGCCCTGCTTGCCTCGAACTTGCAATGATCCTCCTGACTCAGCATCCTGAGTACTGGGATTACAGGCATGCGCCACCACACCCGGCTAGTAAATAATTTTTTAAACAGCCTTTTTAGGGAGTATGACTTAGATTATGGAAGTGTGAGGCTTCCATCTGAGTAGCACAGTCTCCTTATTTTCCTCGAACTGCTTGGCTTGCACATTTTAGTGAAACAAGCTACCATGTTAGTGAGAAGCATTGCCATTGGCCTCTGGCTCGCAGCTGGTTGGGGACTGAGTCCTAAGCCAGCAGCCCTGGAGGAACTGGATCCTGCCAATACCACAAAAGCCTAGAACTGACCCTGGCCCTGTCAGACTTCCAGTGAGACCCTAACCCTGGCGGGCTTCTTCCTGGCAGCCAGGGAAAGATTCTGGTTTTTGTTGTTATTTTATTTTTGTTTTTGAGACCACATATACACAAGGTAACTAGGATAATTGTACTACAAATTTCTAGTGGTTTATTTATTTATTTATTTAGTCTTTTTGAGATAGGGTCTCGCTATGCAGTTCAGGCTGGCCTTGAGCTCACTTTGTAGCCCAGGCTGGCCTCAGCCTCCTGAGTACTGGGATTATACACGTGCACCAACCAGCATGCCGCCCAGCTACCTGGGAGAGATTCTGAAGCAGAGAATCCAGCTAACCTGAGCCAAGATTCCCGACCCTCAGAAACTGGGAGAGAATAACTGCGTGGTAGTGTAAGCCACTAAATTTTGAGGAAATTTGTTCTGCAGCATAATTAATATAGACAAATTTTTTAACCCCACAAAATAACAAAATAGCCTGGTGGTTCTGAACTCAAAGGAGAGAAGCATTTCAATGAGAGAATTCTGGTAGGAAGATGGCACAGAGGGTCCTGGTACAGAATCGATCCATTTTACAACTTACTTTCTAACCAAATATCAGATACACAGAGTGACAAGAATGAGTGTACTTCTGGTGATAACTGGACAAAAATCTCTCAGATGGGAATTATCCTGGAAAATCTTCCATGTGTGATCCCTTTTCTCATAATGTTACTCTTACCTTACAGCACTAACTTTTCTCACATTGGTCTAGAACAGCCGAGGTAGGTAGGGAGGCCCGTTGCCTCTGAGGGTCAGCAAGGAACAGGGACATTACCCCTAAATACACGTTACCTCAAGAAGCACTTTAACTTAAAGTGTGTCTTTCTGATGGGCCACACGGTGTGACAGAAAGACCTTTGGAGTGACTCCAACTGCCACCAACTACTTGAGTATGGCTTTGGTGACTTCCCAACCTGCCCTGCCTCCTCCACATGATGGAGGAGACCCTGCCTTGAAGCTCCCAGAGTTGCTAATCAACACGGGTAACACACACAGCAAGATGTACAGCTGAAGGGAGTTCTCGGGAAATGTTAGCGCCCAGCGCTGGCTACTGTGATCTCCCGGAACAGCTCGCTTGGTCAATCACAAAACACCACATGCGGGTAAACTCTCCCTGGTGAGTGAAAGGTTCTCAAGTACTGAACCAGATAAAAAGTGCAACAATGCATGGCCGTGATTGCGTGGCCCAGGGTCACCCCAAAGTGGCCAGCAGAGGTCCAGAGTTTCCTTCACAGTGCCTCCGGATTGAGCAAGAGATTCACACCCCGCCCTCAGCCACATCCTTGCCACGCCCCCATCTCTCAGACCCTGATGGTGTCGTGGCCCCATTAGGACACCGCGCCCAAGCTGTCCCTTGTGCTTTTGTCCTTGCTCGCAGCAGTCTCTGTCAGCATCTTCCTCGCCCTCTCCTGGCATCTGTTCTCCGAATTTTCCCCATAGCTCCTCCGGGACATTTGCTTATCAGAAACCATCGGGTGGGCAGTGCAGTCATGGGGTTCCATTTAGCCTTCTTATCGGCTCATCACGTGATGCCCGCCTGGCTTCTCTAATTAGCCCCCTCTCCCCCAGACAGATCATCACATGGTCCCGCAGCTGTAATTGCCCGCCCAGGGTACAGCCACAGGCCTGCGCTTAATCACTCCCGTCCACTCCAAATCCATTTTAGTCTGCAGGAGCAGCCAGATTCTATCTGGCGTGAGGCTTAATTGCCCCCTGATTACCCACAGGGTCAGGCGCTTCAGTGTGCACAGATTTGCTACCTGCAGCGCATGCAAGATTTTTGTGTTTGCTAATTTCCTCTGATAGCTTTTTCTCCTGAGCCCCCAGAAATGCTCCTGGCAGAGGTGTGTGTGCGCCTTTAGCAAGTCTGCTCCCCTTTCCGGACGGTGTCTTAGCTTCCTCTTCGGGGTGGAAGCCCCTCCGTCCCTCTGCCACAGCAACTACCATCTGGATCTAACCAACCACGGGTACACGCGACTCCAGACACAGCCAGCACCTGGACTCACCTCGTCCTTTCTCCCCACTGATGCCAAGGTCAGGGATGGTCAGGAATTTCAGCGTCACCCTGCAGCCCTTAGGATAAGGCCCCAAGGCCTTCCTAGTAAACTAGTCAGGCCTCCGAAGGCCTGCGCCGTCGCTTCCTGGCCTCATTTCTCGCCACTGGCTCTGTGTGCGTGCGCTGAACTGAGCTCTCTTCCTTGGTTGCACCTGGCCGTCTCATGGTTCCCTCAGGCCATCCTGTCTACAATCGACCCTCTGTATTTGACATTTCTGCCTGTGTGAGTTCATCCAACTCTGGATTGAAAATAATTTGAAAAAAAAAAAAAGATACGTTTGTGCTGAACAGGTTCGGACACTTTCTTACCACTCTCTAAACAACACAGGGCAAAAGCTATTTACATAGCATATACATTGTACCAAGTATTATAAGTAACTTAGAAATGATTGAACTTGCAGGTTGCATGCCAATAGATGCCGTTTTGTAAGGGACTTGCTCCTCCTTGGATTTTGGTGTTCTCGGGGTCTTGGAACCAGTCTCCTACAGATACCAAGAGATAACTGTGTTATCTCTGATTCTGTCCCTCACTACCTTTGACTCCTGTTGTCCCTTAACCTTCGTAGATTCCTGCCTACCTTTGACTCCTGTTGTCCCTTAACCTTCGTAGATTCCTGCTCACCCATCTGGTGGCAGCTCAGGTTGGCTCCTCCAAAGATTTCTCCAGGCCTCCTGGTGGCCAGCAGGCTCTGCTCCGTCCAGCACACACACCCTCCTTGCGCACCGAATGCACTTCGCTGCATTTGTTAGTTTCGTGAACCTTCTCCAGCAAACGTAGGCGCTGCAGAGCTGCCTCGGTGCATCGCACCCACCCCTTGGTCCCCAGGACCTGGCGCAGGACCTGCCACACGGCCTACAACTATTTCTTGACCGAATCAATGCATTTCTCACCAGCGCTATGAGGCAGGAGCAAGGTGGAGGTGTTTATGGCATTTCTTTTGGCCAAACACAGAATGGTGCGGGCAGTGTTTCATACGAAACCTTCATGTTTCGGCCGAACTAGACTTAATTATTGCTTTCTAACGTGCTGATGGTGTTTTTATTTATCTGTCTCTTTACTTATTTTTCTCTCACATACTTCTCAAGGTCCCTGTGCTTCTTTAAATTGGCTTTGAAAGAACCTGCCCCTGTTTTCTTCTCAGTCATATCAGGTCAGTTTGGGGCCAGTTTCTTACTAAGTCCTTTAAAATCACCGTCTCATTTAAACCCTTCCCCGAGCTTATGAGGAGGCATAAGCTGTTTGGTGGGGCCACAGGCCCGCAGACGCTGCAGAGCTGCCTCCGTGCACCTCACCCAACCCTTCATCCCCAGGACCTGGTGCAGGACCTGCCCCACAGCATATAATTATTTCTTGACCAAATCAATACATTCATTTCTCAGACTCCCACCCTCACCCACCCATTCTATTCCCTGATCTGTGGGTCTCATTGTCCTGCTGAGTACACCCCTTACCCATGTAAGAATCCTTTGTACTGCTTGCCTGATAGCAGGGAGCAGGACCACATCAAATTTTTAAATCTTGTTTGATACCAGGCATGGTGGCGCACACTTGTAATCCCAGCTCTCGGGAGGCTGAGGCAGGAGGGTCACTGCAAGTTTGAGACAATTGTGGGCTACAAAGTGAGCTCAGGCGGCTGGGGGTTTAGCTCAGTGGCACAGCGCCTGCCTGGCAAGCGCAAGGTTGTGAGTTCAATTCCTGGTACTGGAAAAAAACCAAAACAAAACAAAAAAACAAAGTGAGCTCAAGGCCAGCCTCAACTGCATAGCGAAATCCTGTCTCAAAAGACCAAAAAAAAATTTTTAAAAAACTCTTATTTGAGACATTCATTCAGTGACAAAAATACTCATCCTTAAAAATGGGGCCCAGAGGCTGCAGTGACCCATCACAGGGGAAGGGGAGCAGCTGGCTCACCTGCATCAGCTGAGCCCAGCTGAGCCAGGGGACACCACTTGTGGCAGTGCCTGGCCCGCGCCTCAGGTCTCTTGCTTCTGAACTTGGGGTGTGTTTGTTTGTTTTGGTTTTTTTGAGACAAGGTCTTGCTATGTAATTCAGGCTGGCCTTGAACTCACTGTGTAGCCCAGGCTGGCCTCAAACACACAGTGTGATCCTCCTGCCTCAGCCTCCTGAGTGCCGTGGTTGCCGGTGTGCACCACCATACACACCTTTATTTCCTCTTCTCTGTGGTCATGCCTGTGACCTTTGACTCACTGGGGTGCATGAACAGCCACCAGAAGCTTGTCTAGCCATTCGCAGGTCCCACCATACCCTAACCCAGAGGCAGAAGTCCCACACACCGCCAGGAGCCCCTCTGCTCTGTCACGTATGGTTAATGCGAAGTTTTTCTTCCTGCTCAAAAATTGGCAGAATTCTGTAGTCTTGTTGGTAAAAAGCACCAAGCAGGGCCTGTTGCTTAGCCTTTTGAAAACACACTACAGTAGTTGCTAAATGATTGGGCTAATTAATGGGGGTGGGGGAAGGGAGGAAAGATGAAATTGGCAACTAGAAACAGAGGTGCTGTGCCTGGAAGCAGTCTAGTCATGAAGTCCTAATTTTGCTGTTGTTCTTGTTGTTGGTTGAGATAGGGTCTCGCTATGCAGTTCAGGCTGGCCCTGAACTCACCATGTAGCCCAGGCTGGCTTCGAACTCACGGCAATCCCCCCGCCTCAGCATTATGAGTGCTGAGATTACAGGCACGCACCACCACACCTGGGGTGAAATCCTGAGTTTTGCGTGTACAGGTCATCTCCAGGATCCCCTTGAGAGCAAGAAGAAGATAGGACAGGAATGTTTTTTTCAAATTGGCCCTCCTCATGGAGACGGAGATGCCCGGGTTCCCAGCCCAGACGACCAGAGCCTAGAGGCGTCCAGATGTTAAATTTGAAGCAGGGGCTTTCTGTCCCTCGTGGAGCTTCCAAACCATCGGGCTCATCTTACTCCAAGGTTCATATTCAGGGGATTCCCAAACTCGGGGCTGATCTGACCAGCTCTGTGAGACAAAGGTGATGGAAGTGCAGGGTGCCTTTGGGCCAATCCCTTCTTGCAGGCCTTGGCTGGCTCTGGAAACTAGAACCATCTGTCTCAGGTGGAAGATGGTGTGGCAAGAGGAGGGGTGAGGAGGGTCTCTGTGCTCCTGGGGACACCCGGGCCCTACTTGAGGGCCTGGAAGGTACATCTTAGAGGAACCCTGTCCTTGTTAATAGAGTGAGACAAACTTGCCCCAGAACTGCGGAAGGCCCTCTCTTAACATTCATTTTACCTATGGAGAAGAGACAATGGTTGGTCTCAAAGGTTTACCTCCTAAAAATAGAGATTTGAGCAGATGTAGGAACAGTTGTTGGCTCTCCTGTCTGCGCCCATCCCTCCTCTCCCACGGAGAAAAGGAATCTAAAAAGAGAAAACGCTTTCATCTATTTGCAACTGGAATGCAATGGAACAGATGACTCTGTTTGGCTTTTCCCCTTCCAGAGCCTCTGGGTAAAACCTTTTCCCCAGTGGAGATAGGGTTAAAGAACCCCTAGCAAATGTAGATTAAAAAGTATCCCACACCAACCGGAAGCTCTTCCTCATTCACACCTACGCTCATCACTATCATTAGGGGCCATCCCAGAGTCACCGCCCTGGAAAATAGTGTGTGTGTAAACCAAAAACATTGCATACAATTTCATAGATTCTGGACCCCTGGCTAAGAATTCCTGCTCCAGAGGTAAGTAGAAATGGATTTTTTTCAAAAGTAACATTTAGAGCAGCTGAGACTAAATGGAGCCAGCAAGTTGGAGTTTAAGATCTTTCTGTTCCCTGTTGTCATACTGCGAGGGGCCAGTACTGGGGATTGAACCCAGGCCTATGACACTGAGCTATATCGCCAGCGCTTTTTTATTGCTTGTTTTGAGGCAAGGTCTTGCTGAAGTTACTAAGTTGCTCTGGCTGGGCTTGAATTTAAGACGATGTGACCAGTGACAGCTGAGTGATCAAAAGTGTTCCTGAATGCCTGTAATCCCAGCTCTCAAGGCTGAGGCTGAGGCAAGAGGATCACCGTGAGTTTGAGACCAGCCTGGACTACATAGTGAGTTCAAGAGCAGTGAGACCTTATCTCAAAAAATAAAACAAAACAAGTGTCACTCACTCATGATTGCTTCTTGTTTACAGCAGGATTCTTGAAGAAAAACTATGTGTGACCTTTAACCAAGCCCTCCTGCTTCAGCCTTGCAGAAGTCTGGGATTACAGGCATGTTCAATCACTTTGGGCTTGTCACAGCTCCAAGTTCTGAAGCAAGTGACGGTTTCCAGTCCTGTTTATCTCCAGCTCCACAACCTCCTTTAGCACCTCAAGAGGGAGGGGTGGCCCGAAAGGTACACTGTCACCTCTACGGACATCTTTTCCTGTGGGATGCCTGGTGACCATAAGTCATGTGCATGAGCGGGTGGCTTCCTCATGGGTGGCTTTGCCTCCCACAGACTTACCACTTATTACACGCTCAGTGGCTGTCCATATCAGCAACAATGGGGTTGTTGCTGATACCAGCACATACAGCTGTCCCTGGCTCTCCAGCGGGGCTGGCTGAAGGACTGCCCTGATTCCCAAATCCACAGATACTAGAGCCCCATGGAATGGCATGGTGTTTGCATATTACCTACAGACACTGTCCCGCACACTTGAAGTCACAGCACCTAATGGCCATGTATGTCATCATCCTAGCCGTACTAAGCATGTAGTGTCTGTGCAGGACTCAGGCCGGATGCTCCGTGAAGTGCAGGAGAGACAGGGGGCCTGTGACCTGTGGGCGCTATGGCAGGTGTCGCTCTGCTCTTGTGCATTCAGTATGGGGCTTGGTGTGCCACCCACATAGATTTATTTTATTTTTTTTGTTGGGGGGGTGTACCGGGAATGGAACTCAGGACCTTGCACTTGCCAGGCAAGTGTTTATGCCACTAAGCTATATCCCCAGCCCTCAGCCATGCAGATTTAGCTCTTTGGAACTTTTTAGATTTTCTTCTAGTATTTTTGATCATTGGTTGGTTGAACTCACAGACGCTGAAGCCCTGAATGGAGGGCCATCTATATGGGCTACAGTAGGTCCTTTCTGAAGTGTATGTGTCATATTGTGCCAGCACCAAGGGGATGCTCAGGAGGATATAAGGACACTGAGACAAGGTGACCAGTGACAGCTGAGTGATTGAAAGTGTTGCTGAATGCCTGTAATCCCAGCTCTCAAGGCTGAGGCTGAGGCAAGAGGATCACTGTTGGTTTGAGGCCCGCCTGGACTACATAGTGAGTTCAAGAGCAGTGAGACCTTGTCTCAAAAAACAAAACAAAACAAGTTTTACAAAATCATGATTGCTTCTTGTTTACAGCAGGATTCTTAAAGAAAAACTTTGTGTGGCCTTTAACCACATCAACACAAACATTTTATTAAGCTTCTATTTAGCTTATTTTGCCTAAACAAATGGGAACATGTAATCTAGAAGAAATTTAGAGCAGTGTTCACTGGAGCAGATTAAAGAATGGAGTTTTTCTTTTGCAAAGTTATTTTTGAGCCAAAAAAAATAATCTTCATAGCTGGTTGTTTTGGAGAAGCAAGCACCTTTGGAATAGAATAGTGTACTGAAATTGACTTTGCTTAAACA